GGAAAGATTGCCTTTATGTTATTATGCAAATGAAGTGCAGGATATTTAAATCCTAGCTTCATTTGCACTTTCGAAGTGCTTCATTTACATTCCTCTACTAACAGGGGACACAGGGACAGTGTAATATTTTAACGTCAAAAGAGAGGTTGACTCTCCAGCATATCTTGTTCAAATCACCAACAATCAGCCTGTTTTATTTTTCATTCTTCACTAAATATTTTTTAAACAAAACAAAAGTGTTTCATCTTACCTTTGACTGGTAAAACTTCGGTTTAGATTTCATAATACTGGCTGGGATATATTTTCTTCCAAACAGATTTGCCAGTACTAGCACTAGCTGTTCCATTACCTCTTGGGAAAATGTCTTTGAACCTATTCAAAATAGAACCCGCATATCAGAACAAGGACATTGGGATTAAAACCTAAACTAGCCAATACCTAAAGAGCTTGGGAAAACTCATGCAGCAAAACTCTTTATTTCTAGGAAAACTCTACTATATAGGTAAACATACATAATGTCACAGCTTGTGATATAATATGGACAGTGTGTCAAATGCCATTATTCTGCATGGACTTTGGAGGAAATAGGAGCTGCCATGTTGTGTGTCTAATATTTCAAAGGAAACCTATTAAGATAATTTTATTGAGGGAACTCTGGCTTTATCAAGAGTTTGCAGACTTTCTTGATTTCTTCAAATCTGATTTTACATTTGAATATAGCTCTGGTCTCTCTGATCAGTCACCTCTTTTTGGCAATGGAAAGACTAAATGTCTGCCATGACTCTTTTAGATCTGTTAGTTGTCTATGATGCTGTAAGATGACGAGGCACCACTGTTCAGAAAGTTGCATATTCTGATAAGGATGAAAGAAGCATGATTGAGGAGCTCTACTGTATTCTCTCTAAAAAGATTTGTAATCGGCAATTGTACATCTAAACCCAGGAGCCCCTCGCTGGTATTTTTGTTACCCTTCTTGCTCAATGTATACATAAGGCCCCAAAGTGAGATAAGGAATTTTCTGGCATGGTGCCATAAGTATGCTATTGATTGTGACAGACAGTTATGACTAATGCAGGCATATCTCAAGACTGTTGTATCCACTTTATAAATTTTATCTGTATCTCTGTGACTCCAGGCTTGAATGTTAGTTGATTGGGGAGGGTTACAGAGCTCCTTTCAGGAACTAAAACTGGCCTGGGGGTTGGGGGGGGGATGCTGTTACTATACACCCTGGCTGTGTCTAGACTGGCAAGTTTTTCCACAAAAGCAGCTGCTTTTGCGGAAAAACTTGCCAGCTGTCTACACTGGCCGCTTGAATTTCCGCAAGAACACTGACTTCCTACTGTCTGAAATAAGTGCTTCTTGCGGAAATACTATGCTGCTCCCATTCGGGCAAAAGTCCTTTTGCGCAAAGCTTTTGTGCAAAAGGGCCAGTGTAGACAGCTCAGATTTGTTTTGTGCAAAAAAGCCCCGATCGTGAAAATGGTGATCGGGGCTTTTTTGCAGAAAAGCGCATCTAGATTGGCATGGACGCTTTTCCGCAAAAAGTGCTTTTGCGGAAAAGTGTCCGTGCCAATCTAGACGCTCTTTTCCGAAAATGCTTTTAACGGAAAACATTTCCGTTAAAAGCATTTGCGGAAAATCATGCCAGTCTAGACGTAGCCCCTGAGAGATAAAATACCACTACCTGGGGGAGCTACACATACTTGCTCAGAGTAGCTTCAAGAGCCCAGAATACAAAGGAGGACTTTGTGGGTATAAAGACTGAGTTTAATCTTATTGAAAGGGGCTCTCGTTTTGATCCAATAAACTGACATGAACCTCTGATCAGAGTGGAGAGGGGCAAATCCTTTGGAAGGATTGGAAGAACCAGAACCAGCCATGGTCACCATAGGATTGATGGGTATATTTGTTTAGGTCTTATGTTTTCTTTGTAATCTCTTTGTCCAAAATCAATTCATTGTGCTCTATGTAAGACTGTCTGGTCTTTAGTAAACTGTCTTCACCCTTGAGAGAGTGTGAAGCTACAAGTGCTGATTAAGTCAGATCTTCTGGACAAAAATCACTATGGATTGCAGGGGGATGCAACCTACATGCCAGATCTGGAGACAGAGAAATGCAAGTCCTTGACCAATGAGAGGTGTTGCTGGAGACAACCCTTAAACAGACCACGGAAGGTTCATAGGTGTGATTACCCCAGAACTGCTACATTCAATCTTCTTTCATCAGAACAATCAGTTTCTCTGCTTGTTCTGTGTCTAGCTGAGAGAGGGGTTTGGATGAGGGCTAGTTGGCTGAAGCTCAGTTGTACCAAGACAGAGGCATTGTTGTTTGGCTGGAGGAAATAACCAGAAGAAGTGGAATATATCTGAGTTCTTTTTCTCTATATATATGTTGACACTTTGGCACCCCCATATTCATCATGGTCATGTAATTAGGATATTTTGTATAAAGCATGCCTTGTGAGGTATCATCCTAAAAGTCTTGGTCTGGTAGACATTAATATCTCATGGGATTGTATGTGCTATTATTTATATGTGAATAGTGTTTATGTATGTGTTACTGAAATATGTGATGAAAACACTCTCAAGAAGTCTTTCAGGTACAATAAAAAAGGCCAAACAGTTAATAGCTTAGTGAGGAGATGTTCACAAGCACTGGATTACCCCAAGAACTGTGTACAACAGAAACTTCTCCGAGATAGCACTACACAGTGGGAACTGTTTGACCCAGGTCACGTAAAGAACTTCCCTGGAAGTGGGAGAAAGATATAAAGGGGGGAAGTGACATAATGATGGTACCTCACTCTCCCTATAACACACCTGGGAACAAAGACCAAACTGAGAAAAGTTATGTCCCAGGCTAAAGGGATTTCTAGGTGAATATGAATACCTGGGAAACCCACATTGCAAATCAGATAGCTTGTGCCTTAAGAACCTGCCAGCATGTTAAAAAAATTAAGTCATATCTGTGGTTTTGTTTATTTACTGGGTACTCCACTTTGATTTGTTTGCCATCACTTATTAACTACAGAGGGTAGATTTTAAATTTATTTTGTTTTAATTCAAACCCGTATGTGTTTGACTAAGGTGTCTGTGGAAAACCTCAGCTTTGTTACTGCATGGTCCGCTTTGCATTGCTTTAGGGTCCTAGGCTGGTGGTTACAGAGCCTGCATGTAACTGCAGCTGGTGTGGGAAGATCCTTGCCCAGGCCCCTTGCCTTGGGATCCCTTCTTCGGCCACAAATCACCAGGAGACACAATCACCCGTGTCGTTTTAGTCCTTGTTCCAGCTTCCTACCACCTTCTATTTACAGAACTTGATTTTTTCCCAGCAGCTAGCTCTGCTTTACTAGGACTCAGACACTCCTCCCTCACCACTTCCCCTCTGGCTGCCTTATACAGGTAGGGACACATCTAGTGTGACAGACTGCTGGCTAATGAGGCCCACAGCTGCTTCCCTTAGCCTGTTAGCCCGTCAGGCCTGGGCTGGTTATTATTGGCCTTTTCAGCCAGGGTGTAGTGGCAGAGCTCTGGCTTAGCGAGCAGTCTGTCACACTAGATGTGTCCCTACCTATAGGAATGTTAGTGAAAATACAAGCCAGAAGGGCTTTGCAACTTGTCACAGCAGCACAGTGTGAATAGGAGCCCAGGCTGGTGGGGTCAGAGGGCTTAGTGGAACCCCAGTCCCAAGAGGCACTGCAGGGGTAACTTGTTACATGTTAATTGTCTCCTACATTTTTACACTAAATTTAAAAACAGTTTCTTCACTACATAAAAAGATAGTGAACACAAACTTACCTTTCCTAGTTGGCTGACACAGTTTGTGAAACAAGCCCTTCACAAGAAAGCTGACTAAGACAAGATTGGAAGGTTCATGATAATGCAGGTGGGTTACAAGTCCAGCAAATCCCATAGTATTGCCTTTTTGATCCAAATATCCCTAAAGAATTAAACAATTTAGTAATCTATCACCTGTCATTTTTATAACTTGTATTGGGCCATGATCCTATTCAACCTGCTCTGAAATATCTCTAATGATGGAGATTCCATAACCTCCCTAGGCAATTTATTCCAGTATTTAACCACTCTGACAGGAAGTTTTTCCTAATGTCCAACCTACATCTCCCTTGCTGCAATTTAGGTCCCTTGCTTCTTGACATATCAGCATAGGCCAAGGAGAGCAATTTTTTCCCCTCCTCCTTGGAACACCCTTTTAGGTACTGGAAAACTGCTATCAACTCCTTTCTCTGTCTTCTCTTTTCTAAAAGTTAAACAAACCCAATTCTTTCAGCCTTCCCTCAAAGGCCATGTTTTCTGGACCTTTAATCATTTTTGTAGCTGTGCTATGGGCCCTCTCCAATTTCTCTACATTTTTCTTGAAATGTAGTACCCACAATTGGGCACAATACTCCAATTGAAGCCCAATCAGCACAGGGTAGAGCGAAAGAATTATTTCTTATGTCTTGCTCAAAATACTCCCGTTAATGAATAATAAATATTTCAAATGAGATAAAGATCCTCCCACTCAAAAAAAGGAAGATGGAATCATGTGAAATTCCTTTTTTAACATAATTTGCTTATAAAAATGTTGAATCGTATTTGATCAGTAATTTTCAGTGAAAACCTCAGGCTTGTGTAGAAGAACTGAAGCACACGAACAGCACAAACAATGATACCCATGGCAGCTGGTCTAATCTATAAAATGACAGCGTTCATAGCCTGTTCATGAGTGTGTCCTTAAGCTCATCTGGAGCTCCCTGCAGGATCAAGGCCAAAGAATAAACATTTCATTAACAAAAAAAAAAAAAAGACCAGGTGGAATCTTACCTCCTTGATAAGAAATTGCAAAGAAAATAAAAAGTAGAGCTTTAACATGTCCACAATTCTTGGCTTGTTGAAGGAGAGAAGTGAATGCTTCAACACTGACAAAACCTTAGGAGAAAAAATACTCCAGTTTATCACTCTCTAAAATATCTAAATTATTGACTTGCTAGGGAAAACTCTGCTTATGATACAACAGTTATTCTGGGGATTATATTCAGGGTGCCAGAGGTGGGATCTGGGTCCCCATTCAATTTTGGGGAAAAAATTACTCTTGGATACAGTCTACATAAGAAAGAGAAAAGGGAAGAAGAGATGAAGGTCTGATTAACTTCCTCTTAGGAAACTTTCTAATCACACAAAACTGAAAACCTTTGCCCACCCTCTTCCCTGTGACTTCTCTGAGGCTACATCTACACTGTTTGTTGTTTTTCAGAATAGGAAATGCAAATGAACACTCATTTGCAAATCTCGTGCTCTTATTTTCATATTCTCTTCTGATCCGTTTTGTAGAGGAGGTTTTTGCGAAAAAAAATGCAGTGTAGACAGGGTCATTTGTCAGGAAAAAACCTTTTTGCACAAGATCCTGTAAATCTCATTTTTTGAGGAATAAGGGATCTTGCGCAAAAGGTTTTTTTTCCAACAAATGGCCCCGTCTACACTGCGGGTTTTTTGCAAAAACCTCTTCCGCAAAAAGGATTAGAAGAGAATATGCAAATGAGAGTGCAAGATTTGCAAATGAGCATATCATTTGCACTTCCTCTTCTGAAAAAAAAGAACAGTGTTGATGTACCCTGAGGCTCCACTCCCTCTGTTGCTGTTGCTCACTCTCTCTCATTTTCACTGTGAATGAGGTTGGGGTACAGGAGGGGGTGAGGACTCCAACTGGGGATTCAGGGTCCGGAGGGACCAGAAATACGATGTAGGAGAAAGGGGGGGCTCCAACTGAGGGTGCGGGCTCTGGGGTGGGGCAAGTGATGAGAGGTTTTGGGGATAGCAGAGGGCTCCAAGCTGGAGCAGAGGGTTGAGGTGTGTGCTCCAGACAGTGGCAATACTTTTATTTCAGGCATCTCCCAGAAGTGACCAGCATGAACCTCTGGCTTCTAGGCTCAGGAATGACCAGTAGCTCTGCACGTTGCCTCTGCCTACAGGCACCACTTCCACAGCTCCCACTGGCCATGGTTCTTGGACAATGAGAGCTGTAGAGCCAGCACTCAGGGTAGGGACAGTGCATAGACACCTCCTGGCCATCCCTGCGTCTATAAGGTGGACAAGTTGGCCACTTCCGAAAGCATGAGCAGATTGGTACCCCTTTCTTAGCCCCACTGACCAGACTTTTAGTAGCCTATTAAAATCTCCCTGATTGTTTTCAATAGTCACCCACTATCAGTGCTGTTTTCGGTGTACTCCTGGTCAGTCTGGGAGAATTGGCAACCTTATTTCCTCTCTCTAGGAAGTTGAATCCTCTCTATCAGCATCTTTTTCTCTTAGCAGCAGAGCAGCTGGGGTGCTGCTGGGTTGGTCCCACAGCGCCACCCCTCACCAGCACCTGGTTCACCCCACGCTGCACCGTTCCCCGCCTGACCCCACTCTCTCCCAAACCCATCACAGCCCCCCGCCGGAGTACCTCCTGATACACCGGCATATCCCCTGGGTCCCAAAGGTGCCGGATTATCGGAAGTCTGCTGTATATAAAAATTCAGTGCAGATATGTTTGATCAAAATATATATCACTTAAAAAATTAGATTCTACTGAAAATAATGTGAACGAGTAGGGAAGATCCTAATTATTTGGTTTTAACATGTATTAGAAATCTAAAATGCCCCCATTTATTAGAAATATGTATAGAGCCCTGCACAGATATACAATTTGTATCCCTATCTGTATCCAAAAAATGAGCTGCAGCTTTCCACATGGACATCCACATATGCGGAGACCCACATAAAGATATAAAGAGGACAGCCACAGGTTTGCAGGATTCTAGATATAAAATTTGTATCCGCATCCATATCTGCAAAAATTAACTGTGGATACCCATGGATATGAAGGAAATATCTGTGGATCTTTAAGCTAAAAATGTAGACTTTTCAGGATAGCAAAAAAAATACATATTTAGTAATGTGGTATCAAACTACAAAAAGGATTTCAGTATGTGATCTAAAAATACAACAGAGTCCATTATCTTCCCGAGGACCGGTAGCTTACAATTTCATAATATACCTTTGCTTTTGCATCTTCTTTGTCGTCAGCTTTTGCAGCCAACAGCATAAGTCTCAGTATCAGGGAAATACTCAATGGGAACTGGCCTCTCAGCTGGGGTACATTGGATTTTATAAGCTTGTCTACTTTTGGTAGTGGAATGTCATAGAAAAACACATTTCCCAGCAAGTCTTGACCACGTCGTCCAGCACGTCCAGACATCTAAAAAGAATCAATCCCAAAATTATATTTTTTTCTTCATTCAGTGATAGCCCAAAGCCATTGCTATAATGCCAGTTGCTCTGGTTTGAATTAAGCATATCAGATGGATTTTTTATTCCATAAGTACAGAAAGACAAACTGTGCATCCATAATATGTATTTATGTAGGCGCTACTTTTTTAAATAGTACCGAGCAAATCTGAGATGCAGTGGACGGAGAGTGAGGACTTTATTGCTTCCTGCCTGCCTTTCCAGTACACAGCCAAGACTAGGAAAGAAGAAAAAAAGGGTGTGGGAGAAAAGGAACTGTGGATGTGCTGTTCCTTAGTCATCTTTGTAAGACTAAACGGTTAGAGCATTCCAAAAATGCAATCTTTATTATGTGGCTAGGAGAAAAGAATGCAGAAGGCTATACTCAACTTCTTATGCCAGGAGGGGAATATGTGCTTGGCTATGAGGATGAGGCTTGCAGTGATTGTACTTCCCTTACCTCAATGGTTGTCAGATGAGGGCAACTTTAAATTGCAGTTGGCACTCCACAGCAGTTCTACCAGTGGAGGCTACTTAGGGAATAGACAGAATCAATGCATCCTCCTACTTTCCTGACTATGGCCCGTCCTCAGACATCTCTTCTCTCTTTGGAGCTGTGTTAGTTAGCAGCAATCCTTCAGGGATGTGAGTACCAAACAGTATGTCTACACTGCAATAAAACACCTGCAGCTGACCCATGTCAGTTGCCTCAAGCTAGTAAGACTCCGACTGAAGAACTATAAAACTGGACTGTAGGTATTCAGGTCTGGGTTAGAACCCAGAGCCTGGGATCCCCCCCCCACCTTACAGTGAAGACATATCCTTTGAGCTGTGCAATCAGCTTCCAGGTGATCTTTCCACAACCTGGGTCCCTGGGTCGTAGTAGCTCATCACAATTTAATAAAAATATGTGTAATGAAATAATCTGTTGTAAAACACTTAGGTTCACACTTAACACCTGAGTTGTCTCCATCCACCCAATCTTGCATTTCATTTTGCATCTCTGACCTTTCCTCTTAAATGTCTCACTTAAATTAAGCGTCATATAACCCAACTATTGAGTTTGTCTCTCACGTCCTCTCCAATTGCCTTTATTTTACTATCAACACTATTGCTATCTTGTCTGTTACTATAGCTCCAAACCTGGGAACCATATTTTATTTTTCTCTGACCTTTGCCCTGTGCATTCAAGTCATTTCTAAAATCTGCTACATTGTTTATCAGTGATTAAATCATATGTAAATTATGCAGATCATCCAAAATTACTGCCCATAAATCACTGTAGTATATTTTGTATTTGCAACATATGTTAAAACATATTTTAAGAATCTTTTAAAGTTTTAACATTTTTAATAGACTATTTTGTATCCTTCCCACCTGACAAGGCACATGTCTTAACCATGAGTCCAACGGTCAGTCCTTAGAGGCAAACATAATAAACCTCTAAAGTAGCTCTTGGTAGCCAGAATCATGATATTGCTAAGGTGCAATATCTCAGGACCTTTTGGGGGAAGCAAATGTTGCTATAGGTAGGACTTCCCTGGTCCTGCACTCTTGGAACGAGAGTGGTGCCAAATGACAGAGTTTGCCAGGGAAGGTCAAGGCCTCTCTCTGGCTGTTAGCCCTAATCGCCGCCACAAACCCACTACCCCCAACCCTGCTGGGGCTGAGCTTCCCAGTGTGCTGAGCCTGGCTGGGGCTGTGCTCTCACTTCCAGCCCAGACTGCACTCCTGGGCTCCAGTCCAGGTTGCACTCCCAGGTGCCAGCCCCACTGCCTGTAGCCTGGGCAAGGCTACACTTCCTGCTATGCTGGTCCCAGCCGGGGCTGTGCTGCCAACCCCGGCTGGCTGGGGCTGTATTCTCAGTCACCGGCGCTACTGCCTCCAATTGGGTGGAGTTGCACTCCCCGCTGTGCCAATCCCACTGCTGTAGGAGCTGCGCTCCTGGGCGGGGCTATGCTCCCCACCACCAGCCCCAGTTGGGGCTGTGCTGCTCCCCACCATGCCAACCCCATGCTTCCTACCACCAACACAGTGCTTGAACCTGGACAGCTGGGCCTCTCTGGTCCAGCAATACCCATTGTTCTTCCAGACCACAGTAGTTGCCAGACCAGAGAGTCCCGGATTTTAGAGGTTCAATAATGTATTTAATGTAATGTTTTTGGGAAGGTGACAGTGCTATAGAGTTCTAGTTTTCTGATATTCCATTTTTTAAAGTAGTGTCATTTTTATATAATGAAAACCTGTCAGAGGTCCAGGACTGAGTCTTGTCCATCCTGGAATTAAGTCCTCTTAGCTTAGTTGAATAGGGGTGGAGTCCCTCATGTGGGGGGGGACAAAAAGGGAGACCTATTTCTGACACTGATTTTTGTTTTAACAGCAGCTGTTTGAAGCTCCCCAGGTGTAGAAATGTTAGAATAAGTCCAAGGGAGAATGAGTAGAGGGCAGAGGGTAGGTAATGTAGCAGAGGAGAAGGCGGATGGTCCAGTGATTAAGGCACTAGCCTAGAACTTGATAGAACTATGCTCAAGACCCACCTCTGCCAGAGGCTTCCAGTGTGTGAGGTTAGGCAAACCACACAGGGTATGTCTATGCTGCCACAGCTGGTTTTCAGGACTTGGGCTCCAGTGCTGTCTTAACTACGGTGTCGATATATTTGGAAGTGGGCTGGAGCCTTAGCTCTGGGACTCTGCAAGAGGAAAGTGTCCCAGCACACAGGCTCCAACTGAAATCTGAACATCTACACCACAGTTAAATGACTCCATAGCCTGAACCCAAGTTAGCGCTTATGGTCCAACCACAGGTGTTTAATTGCAGTGTAGATACACTCATGTGACTAAGTTCTCCATCTGTAAAGTGGGGATAACAGTGGTTTCCTAACTAATATGGGTGTTGTGAGGATAAATATATTGCAAATTGTGAGGCACCTGAAGGACTACGTTGATGGAGGCTATGTAAACAGGTCGCATTAGTTGGGCAGAAAATAGAGTAGATTGATTTAGATCAATCAGCTGATACCGGCCAGATGCGGCTGTTTAATGACAGTGTTACACAAATATTTTGTCCAGCTTTTTATATAGAGATATGCTAGAAGATTCACTCAGTGTTGCTTGGCCCTTACCTCAGTGGGGGAGCATGCCCTCAGCCAGCCCCTTTCATCTGGTAAATCTGGTGCCTGGTAATTCTGTCTCTTTTCTGTAGGGCTTTATGACAATCAATCCCATTCCAGGCATATCCCATTTTCCTGGCACAACTGAAACCTTACCTTGCTTTAAGCTACAATGAGAGGAAGTTATATACTGAATTTTGTGGTCCTAACTCTTACCGTTTAGGAGGAGTTCTTGAACAGACAGGCAGACAGACAGACAAACTCTCTCAAATATATAGTAGATAGCTGTCCCTCTCTCCACCCCGGCCCTCTACTGCCCCAGCAGGGGTATAGCTGTGCCTATCCCCATCTCTGACCCCTTGGTGCTCTCCTGTGGTCAATATATTGTTCAGCTGTCCCTGCTTTCCATTCCATATCCCCTGCTGTCCCTGTGTGATCACTATATAGAAGAGACCCCTCTTTCTTTTTTTGAGAAGCAATCCCATTCCTGGCACATCCCATTTTTCTGGCATAACCAAACCCTTATCTTGATAAGAGGAAGCTGGTGATCTTAGCTCCTAACCTTTTAGGAGGAGTTCTTGAACAAACAGACAGACATATGGACGGACGGACAGACAGACAGACAAACTGTCTCAAATATATAGTAGATATATAGCTAGCCAAAACTTTTCTGTCTAAATATATGCACACGTGTACCGAATGATGTGTGTTAGTTTAATTGGCTGTGTATTTCAATACCTGTCTATAATTCAGAGCATCCAAATACACAGAATTCTGTGTGAAGACAACTGATTTACATGGCATGTTGATTCCTAAAGCCAGTGTTCCAGTAGCTGTAACCACCTAGAAAAATAAACAGAAGTGAATTGAAAATTATAAACATATGTTTCCATTCTGATAGCCTTAAAGATAAGAATGCTAAATAGAAAATGAATGTACCTCTCTACTTTATTACTTCCAGGCACAGAAGATAACAAACTCTACCCTTCATATGATGGAATTATAAACAGAGTAAATTAGATACAAGCAGTAGCTCAACAAGTGAAAGGGAGAAGAGAAATGATCTTGACTGGTGAACAGACAATATGGGGCAGCAGTGGGAAATCATCACAAATCAAGTAAGTGATTACTGCTGCCATTTTTAATTTAATTTGGATTTTTAAAATTATTAACAACATGATACCTTTAATGGTTATTGTATAGCTTGGTTCCTTCCCCCGTCCCCCAATGATAAGTATTAATTGCTTAGACTAACAGGCTGTGTCTACACTGCACCCCTTTTCCGGAAAAGGGATGCAGATTAGACACATCGGAATAGCAAAATCCGTGGGGGATTTAAATATACCCCGTGGCATTTGCATTTACATGGCTGCTGCTTTTTTCCGGCTTGGGGATAAGCCGGAGAAAAGCGCCAGTCTAGACGTGATTCTCCATAAAATAAGCCCTTTTCCGGAGGATCTCTTATTCCTACTTTCAAGAATAAGAGATCCTCCGGAAAAGGGCTTATTTTCCGGAGAATCACGTCTAGACTGGCGCTTTTCTCCGGCTTATCCCCAAGCCGGAAAAAAGCGGCAGCCATGTAAATGCAAATGCCGCGGGGGATATTTAAATCCCCCGTGGATTTTGCTATTCCGATGTGTCTAATCTGCATCCCTTTTCCGGAAAAGGGGTGCAGTGTAGACACAGCCACAGAGTTTATTTTAATGTGGCTTCTTCTGTCTTGTGCTCTAACTATGCATTGTTTTGACTAAGATTTGGTGTGTGGTTGTTGGGGGACTTTTTTTGTTGTTGCAGTGAGGTAGGAAGGAATTGTCTTAGCTCAAAATATTTTGACTAGTTTGGGATCTTCAAATAAGTTTGTTCGAAAGAGGCAAGTATTTTTATTATAAAACACTGTAAATTATTTTAAACAATTTATACTGAAAGACATACAAAACAAGGCCCTGATCCTACTAACATTTATATTTACACTTAACTTCATTCACATGTACAAAGGCACGTTAATATTTGCAGGATTAGGGCCCAAGTGTTTATCGTATTTTCTCTTAGACATTCTAAAATGGTATCAGTTTGGCAAACTGCATAGATATGCATTTTGGGGGATGGTACTTTCACTTATTTACATTCACTAAGTGAACATATTCTCAAAGGAGACCATTACATGTAAAAAAATATTTAATTTTCAAATAAATTACTGTTGTATACTTTAACAAAAATGTGTGAAAAAATGATGAACCTGGATAAATCCCATCCTGAAGAGCATCTCAACAAACTGTCTTCCTTTGTATGACACAGAAGCATGATGATATCCAATTCCTCTCATTGCCAGTGTTTTCAGTGATGTATTTGTTTTCATGAACTTTATTCGATCAAGCACTTTCTGCAAAGTCTAAGAAAATTAAGAATTTTAGATATTTTTATTTACATTCACTTAAGCCAGTGCCAGAATGGAATATGATTGAGTAATGTATTGTCTTAAAAGTGTCTGCTTTGGCCAAATGGTGCTGTCAACAGGCACTATGTTAATACCAATGTGCAAGAGATACAGACATAGCTTAAAACACTGCTTTGGTTATGAGATAATCCTGAGGGCTGCCAGGGACACTTTTCGCACCAAAATCACATTGGTTAAACCTCTTTTCTGAGATTTGATTAATTGAATGTAGTCCTAAATTTTCTTGCAGTTCAAGAATTGATTCTTCCACTTTCACCTGGAGTAAAACTTAACTGATCAGGGTATATCTACACTACAGAGTTTTGTCAGAAAAACGGTTGTTTTTCTGACAAAACTTGAGGAATGTCCACACTGCAATTGCGTTATTCCTCAAGAAAATTGAAAGAATGGAGGGGTTTTTCCACCATCGGTAATCCTTATTCTACAAAGAAAAAGCCTTTTTGCGAAAGAGTTCTTTTAGAAAAAGGTGTGTGTGGATAGGGAAGAGGGAGTGCTTTTGGAAGAAGAGGAAAAAAGCACAGGTGCCCTGGTGGCCATTCCATCCGGAGCAATCAGAGCTTACATGCGAGAGAGCGTCTTTTCAGTCTGGATGCTCTCTTTCGAAAAAGCAGATCGCTTTTTCGATGCACTTTTGCAGTGTGGACGCTCTCTTTCGGAAAAAGTTTTCTCAGAAAATCTCTTCCGAAGAAAGCTCCTTCCAAAAGAAGCCTGTAGTCTAGACGTAGACTAAGTGAGACATGTTAATTGATTTCAGATACTAATTGATGTGAATAAGAGTGGAAGAAATGTTTATAGTGCTCATCACTCTAATATTTTTTCCAGCACAGAAAATCACAGAGATCAAGGGCTACATTCCACCATTCTTATTCACTTGAACAGTACCTTACTCTTCTGTTAGTACAGTAGAACTCCAATTGTCCGGCATCCAGTGGTCCGGCACTCCTGATAGTCGGGCACCAACTGGAACCCGGAAGTGCTCCGGCCAGCCGGACAATTGGAGCTGCTCTGCCCCCGGCTTCCCCCAGTCCGCTGCTGCTGAAACTGACCAGCGGCTGACTTGGGGGCAGAGCAGCTGGGGTGCTGCCAGGTTGGTCCCGCAGCGCCACCCCTCACCTGAGCGGCGCTGTGGGACCAACCCGGCAGCACCCCCCCCTCCCACGCCGCGGCGCCCCCAGCTTCCCCAACTCTGCCGCTGGTCAGTTTCAGCAGCGGCTGACTTGGGGAAGCCGGGGTCAGAGCAGCTGGGGTGCTGCCGGGTTGGTCCCGCAGCACCGCCCTCTCCCACGCTGCGCAGTTCCCCGCCGACCCCCTGCACCACAGACCTCTCATAGCCCCCCTTCCGGTACTCTGGCATATCTGATCATCCGGCACCCCCTGGATCCTAAAGGTGACAGATTATTGGAAGTTTACTGTACAATTGAAACCAATAGCTCAAATAATGCTACTCAATGTGAGTATGGATATCTGAAATGGACCTTGAATTAAGGTAACAAGTAGCTGGAAAAGAGTCATCGTATAGCCCCTGAAATGAAATCATGGCTTGCAAGAAACAATCTGAGGGAGGAATGTTCCGGTGTGATGCATATATATTTTAAAGTACACAAACACATTTTAAGTTTAATAAAGTAAATAATTAATAGCAAACAAGACAGATTGATTTTAAGTTTTCTAGTAACTAATGATGGGGACAATTTCATACCCTGTGATGAGTTTTTGAAATATACAACACATATATCTAAAAACATATTAATGTTCAAAGTAAAAGGGGAGCAATTAATCTTAGGGACAGTGTTTCATTTTGGTTAATATTTAATGACTCTTTTAACAGTTATACAATAAACATAAAGCAGCAATGCAATATTGCTGGACATGATGCCATCATCCTTTGGGTAGTAGAAAATACTGTAATATGCACTACCCTGAGAAAGCAAGACTTGTCTGCCACTCTCTGCATTGACTTTCCACAGAATAGTAAGCCAAGTTCAAGGTCTCGGTCCTAATCATCAGTGGAATAGCCTAGGCTCAAGAGATCTAAAAATTATCTAAAGGACCATGGCTCACAGCTCTGCTTCTTAGGCACCACAGAACTTTCTAACACAAGGATACAGCTTCTCTGTGTGGGACATGGAGCCTGTGTGGAGGCTATAACAAACCTCATCACAATCCAAGTGATAGATGTACTTCTTTCATCTTGCCTTCTCTTGCAAACATATAGCAGCAGGTACATATGAAGAAACATTAAATGCTAAACTTCACGCTATTTTCCCCCCTAGGAAGACAGTGAAAGGGAGAACCAATCACATAAGAGATGTGACTGACATCTGTCATAAGGGCTACTAGAAGGTGCTCAGATACTACACTGATGAGGGTGATAGAAAAACGTTTATAGAATAAGTCCTTTCGTAAGACCCAGGATTTATTATTGGAATACAGAATTAGCTGCACTTTTGTTTTGTTTTTCTTACCTCTGTATCAATAGCTTGGCTATTTGCATAGGTGCAGTCTGGGGGGATTTCCGTAATCTTCCCAAGTTTTTCCATCAAATTTCCATGCCCAGCCTCCTCAAGTATCATTTTATCAGTTTTATTTGATGTAGTTTTCATGCCACTACACAAAATATATTCATTTTTAGTTTGAACCTTTATCTAATAAAATCTGCAAGTGTTTTATTATTTGTTTTTGTTTTGAGATATTCCCACCAGACCAGTCCTTCTGCTGAGTTATGCATAATACACCATTAGGCTGATGCGTGTTTTCAGAAACAGTACTTACTTCATCTGAAGTCAATAGCAGAAGTGCCAGTGGAACAATATTAGAGCTATGAAAAAATATTACTGCGTTGGTCAAATGCCACTTGGAAAAATTATGTGAGGCTAGAGCTCTGAGGTACCACAAATGGACAAAAAAACTGGACACTCCAACTTATATTTGGCTGATTCAGGTTTGCTTTCTGTATATTTTTGTATGAATTTGGACTGATTCTCACTTCTGAAAAAATCAGGAAAAAAATTTGTGTTGTGTAAAAGGTTGACTTTTTAAGGGTGTTGAAGGAACCCTCATGTCAATTTTTTTCTCTCCTAAGCAATAAATGACATACAGGGAGTACAGTCATTGAGGGCATGGGGCAAGAAAGTACTCTTGGAAAGTCAGTATGGGGTTGAAGCAAATCTAAACCACTAACTCTGGTTTAGGGACCAAGGACAGAGCTCTGAGTAGGGTGAGCTGGAACTTGGGTCTTCTCTCTTGTTATGGCTAGTCAATTTGTAAAAAATTACATTATCTTAGGTACATCACTCAAGGCTGTGAAAAACTTCATGTCCTGTGCAATGCAGATAAGTCAATCTAAACCGCACAGCTAAATCAATGGAAGACGTCTTCTGTCATCCTAACTACAGGCTGAACTTCTATAACCCAGACTTCTGTGGTCTGGCATCTGTCTAATAGAAACAGTTTCAATAGTTCAATGCAAGTTAATACTTACACGGTCTGCTTCTTCTGCATGGACTTTTCAATTTTTTTCAATTTGTTTGTTAACAAATATATTTGCTTTTCAGTTTTTGCTATTTGTTTACTCCTTTGCTTCTCTTCCAGACAGTTTTTTACATTTTCAGCCCATTTTTCCACATTTTTAATGTCGAATCTTAAAAACAGAATTTAAAATCTAGGTAACTTACTAGTAAATAAATTTCTCAAATATATTGCCTCTACATACTACAGAGCACTGTTGTGCATGCTTGAACACATGCACATGTTTGTATTGTTTCCACAATATAATATCTAAAGATGAATACTCTGAGCATGTTCTAATGCAGGGATGAGCAACCACAAATAGTGGGCGGGCCACTTCACCTCAGTATGCCAGAGCAACCCTCAGCTCACTGGAGTTTCACTTGTGGTCCTGTGGTCAGGGACAGGGTGTTCACATTGTGTGATGAACAAGTTATTTTTGTCAGTGTCTCTTTTTTTCCCCACACAAACATATACCTCATTCAAGAGAGAGATCCTGCGATAATACGAGCTGAATTTATAACCTGACTTGTCATTAACCATCTTGACTCAATGAGTACCTAAGGAGACCGCAAAACCAACAACATTGTTTCTCCTTTTAATGTTTTTGAAACCTCTAAATAAAAACCTGAAAAGAGTTGGAGCTTGAAATGGATAATGGTGGAAATCTATTCAAAACAACTAAGTGTTGAGATTTCATGGCAGGCACAAAAAAATCCAAAAAAACTCTGGATATATGCAAAAACTAATACATTGATACAGCTTCTAAGTACAATGTGACATAGGTTCTGAGGTTTCCTGACCCATTTAGTCTAACTACTGTTTTATTCCATTTGTGTGACTTACAGAAAAAACAGTGCAGGCAGTTTATCCATTTGTCTTAGTTTTTCAACAAAACATGGGAAATTGTCCTTCATTTTTTTTTCTGAACAATAGGCCGGACGGGGTTTGAGTAACTGCAGCACACGGTTAGCCTTGAAACAGAGATAATGATTAGATGAGGAGTATGCAAGATTCACTCTGGAGTACCTTTCTAATAAGGCTGCATATTTCTCATATCTAAAATGATTGTCAGCTCTAGTCTGATCACAAACTTGACTTCAGTAAATAACAGGATTCCATTGCATCCTCAAGATGTTGACAGTGGGATAACAGACCGCTTAGCACTAAATTTCTGTTTAAGAGGTTCTAAAATTTTTAAATAATTTTAAAAATTGATCTGGAAGGCAGGAGGAAGATAGGTAATTATGCAAGGTAGTTAAAAGCACCTTAGAAACCACAAATACAAATACAATGTGTACCGATCTTTTATTATACAGATCTTGTCAATAAAGTAATTACAGCATCTCTTTAAAATGGACAGCGTTACAACTGCCTCTCAAATCTATCAAATAGTACACAGAAACTGTCGTATTTTACTCTATTATGTTATATATTTCCTGAGTGTTTGCCAATAAGTCTCTTAATAACCAGATTTTGTGGGGTGGGCAATAATTTTTGAAGGGAGGCCACTTTGCAAATTTTGGAAGTGGTCATGGGCTGCCCCAAAAGGGGCGGAGCCTCAGGTGGATGGGGCGGGCCCAGGAGTCTTTGAGTCTGAGGGCAGTGGGAGTATGTGAAGTCTCCTCCCTCCACCAGAGGCACCCCCAACCCCAAGTCTCAATTGGCCTGGAAGCGTGGGTGCAGCAGGGCAGCCATGGGCCGGAAAAACCTGCTTGGCAGCTTGGATACTGGCCGCTGAGGCCCCTTTGCCCACCCTGATGTTTAGTGTTAATTTAATCCCTGAGAGACTTCTAAAGCCTAGAAAACCATTAGGATTATCATTCAACAATATTTCTGCAAAGTCTAGTACATAATTTTTCAGAGACTTAGATTAAGATCAAGTCATCAAGTTCAGAAAAACCTAAGTAATATGATATTTGGAGGTCACGAACCTAAAAAGTTGCAGAAATATTCATCATTTTTAGAATGCTTGAACACTAAATACTATACATTAGTTCTCTACGGGCACATCTATAGCTAACACAAGATTGATGCTCCAAAGGTATATCTTCTAATGCTCAATTCAGCGGGTCTAATATAGATTCATAAATTGCATGCTGAGGACACTCCTGCTGGCATCTGGTACTCCTCCTTCTGCGAGGAGTAAGGGAAACCAATGGGAGTGTTTGCTCCCATCGACGTCCCACAGTGTGGATGCCACCACAGCTTGGCTTAATGTAAGCGAACTCCAGCTACACATTTTGTGTAGCTTGAGATGCACACCTTAAACTGACCTTCCTGGTCTACTAGGGTGCATCTACACTGCACCCATAGCTCAAAATAAGTTATTCAATTTCAAAATAGCTTATTTCATAAAATTTTGAAATAACCTGCTATTCTGAAACATCCCCTAATCCTTGTGGAACAAGGTTTACAGGGATGTCAGAATAGCAAACCCATTATATATCAAAATATAACGACCTCCGGTATCCCAAAATAGCAGCGCAGTGAAGACGTAGTCCTGTCAACCCGGCCTAACTGAAGAAACTATAATTGCTTTGTATTAAATCTGACTTTTTAGTCATACCTAATCATTGTAGTTACCTTCATTTTGCTGTCATGTACAATCCAATTTTTTAACTCTTTCTTCAATTCTTCTTCATATTTCCTTGCATCTGCTTTTGTGATTACTATTTTATTTTTAAAATGTTTAAATTTCTCAGGATCTAGCTCCTTAAAAACAGGTAACAGAAAAACTATATTGTTACAAAATATGTACATGCAACAGTCTATTAAAAGCAATTGCTCAGACTAGTTGTGAAAATATGTGGTCAGTGCTTACATCAGCTCTTGGCCAGTTTTTCCAGACTTGTACCATGGTGTCATACAGCAAAATACTTTCTCGCGGAGAAAAAGCCAGGTCTGGAGGAAAGCCATATTTATCTATCTGTGATACCAGAAAAAGGGAAGCAGAGAGGATTAATGGTTTGTTGGTGTGTCAGGAAAGTTTCCCCTTCATCGGCATGGACAACTATTTCTCCTCTTGTTCTACATTGCCCTTTCTTAGGTTCTTATGTTCCAGCAGCCATTCTTTAGAGATAATACAATAAGATAGAAATTGTCTTTAAACATGATTGCTGGAAAAATGACACAACATGTTTCCTTCTACAGGAGCTCAACTCCTGTTTCTGCATCACCCCAACTTTTTTTTAACCTTTGCAGGGAAACTGCATCCCCTGCAAGATGTCTTGAAGGTACATCTTTTAAAATAGTTGTATGGTTCACTTAAAAAATTGTTTTGTTAACTATACCCTTAAACTTACATGATCCACAGTTAGTGCAGCACATGGGTGATAGTGATGAATTCTGAAGTCATGCTTCTCTAGGGAACACACATATTTTTCCAAATCATTGTATCTTTCTCCATAAAGCACTGTAAACAGAATAGGAAGTTTATAAATCTAAAGCAAGTTATTTGATAATAATTAAAAATTAAAAACAAACGGCCACCATTTTCAAACCTGAGTACCTAAACTTATGCATCTAAGCAAATGGTGTTTTCATCAAAGGTGATAAGTACCTTCAGTTATCTTTGAAGTCAGAGGTGGTTGAGGGTACTCAGTACCAGAATCTCATTTTATTAGACACTTATATTTGCTGATTTTCACGATATGCTTTTTAAAAATCAGATATAAAGGACTAATCTGATGTTTTAAAAGTTGCATTATGATACATACCCAATTTAACTTTATATGATTCATTTACTGTCTTGATATGTTTTTGTTTTATAGTGCCTTTCTTGGTAGTTGCAGAAGAACCAGGGCTTTCTTTTCTTACACTTTCAACATGCTGCCAGTACCTTTTTACTGACTGTAGCCACCTAAACAAAAAATAATTAATTTGCTAGAAAAGTAGTGCAATGTAGCATATCTGCACAAATTATTTTTAAATATTGTCATAACCAACCATAGTAAACCCTTCAAACTGGCAAAAGAAAATGGCAAACTTCTCTGATACTCTGGAAGTACTATGAAAAATATTCCTTTTAGTAAAACAATACCAAGAATAAGAAACCAAAAGACACTGTATCCTCATGGAATACATCCTTCCCTTATACATTCCTTACATGTGAGGAAAGCCTCAAATGCATTAGAACTGGTGCAATTTCAGTCTGTTATGCAGCAGGCAGGGGAAAGCCTGCAGCTAGGGTCTTAACACCTAATACAGGCTAGGACCTCTGCAGTGCCTTCTTGTGCCCCAGGCAAATGGGATCTTGGCTAGATGAGTGGAAGAAGAAGAGGAACTAGAGATCCACAGTCATACAGATCCACTAACTAAATGTTCCTGCAGCAGCTATAGGGTAGTTCTCAGGATTCTCCATCACCACCAGGAATGTAAAAGGTTAGCCAGTTACCCTTACCATGTGATGCTTACCACATATGTGGTTAACCGGCAGCTTGGCTGGGCTGGCGCAGGCCTCCAGCCTGGCCAGCCCCTCTCTGCAGTTAACAGGTTAATTTTTTAAATAAGATTTTACCCTAATAGTCAGCAGTGTAGATTCAGTCTCCCTTGACCCAGATGGACCTCTTTACATGGTTTATTCATTAGGTTCAACAATTAGCCCTTTAATAAGTGCAAGTCACCCAAATCTTCCCCTCCCATAACAGAACCCACAGAATGTGGAAAGTTACTTCAGAAAATACATCCAGTGAACTGTGCAAAACTCCATTATATTCTGGTGAAAAATGTTGTGGGAATTCAGAGATGGCAGGGTATGCAGCCCAAGATCATGTAAAATGGTAGATAGTATGGTAAGGCCCTAAAGATTTATGTTCAAAATACACAAATTTTGTTAAAAATTAAAGAAATTCAAATCAAATAAGATAACTCATTTTGCACTTTCAAGAAAATAAAGTTTTATATTTACTCAGTAAGATGTTTTGGATTGCTGATAGTTGCAGAGAGAGCCAAAAATGGACATCGAATCACAACTAGAAGGTGCTCCCAAACTTCTGCTCCAATTTCACCACCAAGACAATGGACCTGTTATTGGACAGGATATTCACTTTTTAGTATAGATATTTGACATTAAAGTAAAGATTTAATGTTTTACTTTTTATACTATGCAGTACATTTACGATATTTTCCTCATTGTCCTGTCAACTTTCCAATGTCTAACAAAGTAAATTAGACTCCTCCAGCCTACAGCTGGAGAAACAGAAATATATTGCACTTCCTTAAAGTTCTTCAAAGTAAATACTGTTTAGAGAAAGGGTGTCATGCTGGCAGACAAGGCCAGATCCGGCCCACGGACCAGTTTGCTTGCGCATTATTATAGATCAAAGAGAGAAATATATACATGCATATTCAGATGTTTAAACTTCATGAAAACCAGTATAAAGTTACTTGTATTGTTTTCACTAGCCTGTTCCTGTTATAATGTAACGGCAAACATTTACGTGTTATAAATCCTGTGACTAAATAGCCCATCAAAGATATCTTGTGAAATGATAATGAAGGACGTAAGGTCTTTAACAGAAGAGGCTAATTCCAAAGCCAATGGCCACAGTGGTGATTTATGACCAGAGACTCAGTGGATTCCTCGCTCACGGTTATCAAAGAAAAAAGCCCATGTGGGCAGAGACACTGTCAGCTCGCTTTCTATGTGAACATATTATAAATCTGGATTTAAAGAAGGCTCCTTTAAAAATTGTCTGGATTCTAAAAAGGCAGAATAAATGAGAAGACAAAGATTAGGGTAGGGGACTGGAGTCATTGACCTCCTCAGATCCCTTCCAGTTCTGGTGCTCTATGATCCCCAGAGCCTTGAGAAGCTTTTTGGAAACTTGCAGATCATTGCATCTCTGCTACAATTTGCACTGACAAACTATGACTCACCTGCTAATATATTTTCCCTGCTTTGACCTCTCAAAAAAATCTCATTTCCTTTTTTTAGCTAATAAACATGTAGTTAATTTGCTATGGAATTGGCTGCCAGCATTGTCTTTGGTGTAAGATATGGACTACCAACTAATTTGGGGTAAATGACTAAGGGCTTGTCTATACTTACTGAAGGATCAATGCACAGACAGTCTTCTAGGAAAGACCCACTAAATCAAACATTGAGGGCACCCCCCCATCAACGGTGTACTCCTTGCAGTTGCAGTTGTGAGGAGCAAGTGAAGGTGATTGGAGAGGTTTTCCCATCAATCTCCCACTGTGAGACTGCCCCAGAAAATCTATGTAATTGTCATAGCTAGAATTGCATATCTTACATTGATTTTTGCCACAAGTGTAGAGTTGGCCTAGGAGAAACCCGATGTGGTGGGATGTTTGGTTTAAGAGATCATTATCACAAATTTGTCGGGGTGGCAAGATAGAGTTTAAGAGAATTATGTCTCACACTGGTAAGATTGGTCTAGTGATCCAGGAGTTCACATTTGTTACTGATTTAGTGAACTCTGATTATAGAGCAATCACCTATTTGGTCTGCCCTTGTTTTCTGACACTCTACCCCAGTGGTGGGCAATCTGTAGCACAAGGGCCACATGCACTGCCCATGAGATATTTATTTACTGTTGCACCCGCACAGGGTTGCTAGATTCTGCTGGTTTTCATCCACATAGGTTTTTTCCTACCAGTGTTACAAAAGTGGCATGCACTTAAAGCAAGGGCATGTGAAATGAGGAGCATGCTGATTGCACACAACTTTGTGAGAGCCGTGCACTCCCTCTGCATCCAATCAAAGTGCTGCTACAATTCAATCAGCACACCCCGCAAATTCTAGGTACACAAGCACAGTTAGCAAAATGTGGCCAGACAGCCCGACCCCATATCATCCATCTTATTTGCCTCTCTGAAGCACAGGGCAGAAAAGGAGCAATAAAATCAGCATAGTCTATGCTGGCTCATCTGATCCTGAGAAGCTGAAACACAGATATGTGGATAGAGAGCAGCTAAGTCAATAAGCTGGCCTCGAGGCTGCGGCTGGCACCTATGTTGATTCGAACATACACAGTCCCAGGAAGAGGAATTTCCCACTGAGAAAACAATGTCCAGTACTTCAAAATTTAATCACCTCAAATCTCTCTTACAAGTGTAAATTAAGTTCACAACTCCCTTGTAAGAACTGGTCTCACAGCAGACAGACCAGCATCAATTGGCAATTAAGATAAGAAAGAGAAATACGTGACCCCATGATTATAAAAGATGGGCCCAGCACACACTCACTTTGAGTGTCATTCTACCCTCTACCTGCTGGTCGGGTTAGGTGTTTGACCTCCCGAGGTTCTATGGGGACGCCCACCTCGTATTTTCGTCTTTCCTAGGAATTGAGGGACCGGCCCTGGCCTGACATGCTGGAGTCGAGAGGCACAGAAGGGGGTAAAAATGGTACCTGGATGTGGTCCTCTGTCTTAAGTGTACACATAGAAAGAGTAAGCTGTTACTTGGTACCATTATTTCTATTTTTCTATCTTTATCTTCTTTGTAACCATTTTAAGACCTATATTTTGCTAATAGTTAAAAAATAGAGAAATAGCCATTGTAACCATATGATTTATAAGCTTCTTTAATAAACCTGTAACTGTTTAAGCTTTAACCTGACTCCTTCAGTTGCTGTAACAGAACCAAGCACAATTTAAAAGAACTTCAGCCGGTCATAAAGGGACAGATATAGGGAGAGCTTGGGCGTTTGGATTTGTGTCACACCCAAGTGGCACAATCCACTGGGGCACCTTTCAGTCTTTCCCCAAGGCTGCCCGCTGCGAAGGAATTATGAAATTCTAGCAGCTGAAATCTAAGATGTAATAAGCTCTTCCTATATAACGGGGCGTCTGTTGGCCTGCTGGCCACCCTCTGCGATGGGACCCCGGTCCTAGCAGTAAAGGCACGGACGTTAAACCTTTTCTCGGAAACACACAACACACACACACACCACTCACTGCCCTGACCATTGGTTGGCAGAACTGGGGCACTCGTCAACCTCTTCCAGGTTGCCCGCTGCAAGGGACCCCGGTCTCAGCAGTTAAAGTCTCGAGTGTATAGTATACACACACACACCACTAACTGCCCTGACCGTCGGCTGACACAAAACTACCCTATCCCCAGCATGACAATCCCACTGACATGAAGGAGGTCCACTCATTCAGCCCACTCACTGACCTGGTTGCCCCTTACTGCTCTACCCTGATGTAGACACTCCTGGTTGTGAGCCATTCTAGACCAGCGATTCTCAAACTTTTTGGGCTCAGGAGCCTTTTACATGCGTAAAAATTTGTGCGGAGCCCCAGCGGTCCACTGATTGTATGTGTTGTACCTATTGATGTTTACAGTTTGTCAACCTCACAGAGCCCTGGAGATGTCTCACAGAGCCCTGGGGCTCCGTGGAGCACAGTTTGAGAAACACTGTTCTAGACAGTAAGGCTATGTCTAGACTACAGGTGTTTTTCGAAAAAAAGTGGCCTTTTTTTAAAAAAAAACTTCACGTGTGTCTAACTGCTGTCGCGTTCTTTCGAAATTAAATCGAAAGAACACGGCAGTTTTTTCGACAGCAGTAAACCTGCTTTTACGAGGAAGAACACCTTTTTTAAAAAGAGCTCTTTTGAAAAAAGGTGTTCTTGAACGCAAACAGGGCTTTTTCAAAAGAGAGCATCCAGATTGCCTGGGTGCTGTCTTTCAAAAAAGCAGGTCGCTTTTTCGAAAGACTTGGGGCTGTCTAGATGATCTCTTTTGAAAGAAGCTTGTAGTCTTGATGTACCCTAAGACAGACTGTGTTCCTGATTTCCCTGTGAGTAGAACCATAGTGCATGTGAAAGAAGGTACAGTTTGGACCACCCTGGTCCAGCATCCTCAGGACCTGACAGGTCCCAAACAAGAGAATCTGCCAGACCAGGAAAGGTCTCCTGCCACTGGCCCCCAAGCCCATCACCTGCTTCTGGCAGGCTGTCCCAGCGGGCAACCCTGCTTCGCCCTCCCTCCCCCAATCTGGAAAGCTGCTTCCCCAGCTACTGCTGGCTCCCTGGGCAGCACAGCTCCTGTCATGGGGTTTTGTTCCTGTGCAGCCGGGAGCAGCTGCGGGGCGGGGGCTCTGATCCCAGCCCTGAGCAGCCCCAGCCCTGGTCCCATGCAACCAGGGGAAACCGCAGAGCTCCAGCCCCAACCCTATACAGCCAGGAGAAGCTGCAGGGCTATGGCCCTGGCTCCAACCCCACACTTCTTGCATCAGCCCCACGCTCCATGGGGTTGCTGGAGGCTGCTCCAGGGCTCTGGCCCTGCTCCCATTCTGCCCCCAGCCAGGCTGCCCACCCTGATGTCTTGCCTGGCTGGCCCTTCTGCCCTTAGGGTCCCAGGCTCTCTACTCTCTGCTCTCTGCATCTGATGTTGCCAGACCAGAGAGTGACAGATTTGTAGGTACAACCTGTAGCTCAATATTTTACTTACAACATCTCTCATATCTGGAATCACAAATAGCATTTGTTTAAGACATGGAGAGAAACAAATTTCTGTGGTTCAGACTAGCAGAGAATTGCCATACTGACATTAACAGGAAACTTTTAAAAAGTGAGTGCGGGTGATAGTACCCAAAGTAAAAGCTTCATAGACACCTGACCAAGTGCCCCTGAGAGAGGGAGTGGAGCTTCTTTAAAAAGAGATAGAATATGTGCATATAAACTTGCCAAACTCACTTAGCTCCTGACATTTTAATTAAATGTTCTTTAATAATCCCAATAGAGGAAAAGAAGGATAGTTCAAATCTACCTCATCAAATATAACATATCTGATCCTGTTGGCCCATTGCTGGCGGTGAGGTGACAGCAGCAGGATTTCTAAGCACTGGGGCACGGTCACTAGTACCTGAAAAAACATTTGCAGCCCATTAGTTTGAAACCTGCTGACAGATGACTTTGTTATAAAACATAGTTTTAATAACACAAATAAACATTTTAATTTTCATTTATAACAGCTAGGGCGCTGAATCACCAAAGGTGCAGAAGTTGATTATGTCCCAGATAAGCATCCAAAATTTCAGATAATCTAAATATTAGCTAAACAATTATAAACCCTATCACTTTCCTCATATGTTCTGTGACCCAACCGTCTCTAAAAAGCACCAGACTGCAGAGTACATGATTCCATAGCACAGACTCCTATTCTTGCACATTATATTCATCTTCTCTGTTAAGAAACAAAATTAAATTACGCTTTTGCTCCAGGAATGAATTACTATGTTTAGAAAGTAAGCTAATCTGGTGATGATACTTAATACCCTTTTGTTTAAAGTGTGAGATGTACATTTACATCAGAAAATAGTTCAAGATCCCAGAGTCTGTAGTTGGTAGCAGCAGCTCCAGAGACAGCCAAAGAAGAGACAGCTGTAGTGAAGGGAGGAGGTAAAATGGGGTTCTGCTCCCTTTTCCTCTCCCCTCTTCCCCAGCATCTTCCTAGATCCAGAACTGTGCAAGGCAGACACCCACCTCCTTTTTTGAGAAACTAAGGCCCAGATGCTGCTTTCTCTTTCCCCGGCCATGTGGCTTTGAGGAGTAAATCGCAGAGAAGAATGCATCAGAGGCTCCAGTTGGTAGGAGCAGCTGCAGAAATAGCAGTGCTAAATTAAGCTGCTTATTGGCCATACTACTTGCAAGAGAGATGAAACTCTTTTCAGGGGTGGTTTTCAAGATTGTTAACTTGAATGCGTATTGTTACCCACTCAGCTAGAAAACTGTCAAGTAAACAAACCAGTTTGTGGTTCACACAAGATCTATCGTTTCCATTGGAACGTCGTGTAAAATGAATTGAAATTCAATCAGGAAAGATCTGTCCATGAAGATTTCTACAATATTAGATTTTTCTTCTATTATGTTGTGATTTCTTTGGAAGTTCATAGTTTAAAAAATAGTACCACGATGAACTTTCTGCGGTGCAGGCTGCCAGAATTTCAAACTTTATTTAAATAAAAATATGTATCAAAATAACAAATCAGAAATAATAGGTGTACCTGACAGTTCAGAGCATCATGGCGGTAATCTCTCGTGAAGACCCCACATACTACCAAGCCATCAGGCAGTGTCTTGTTAAATCGATTATACACAGTTGCCCACACTTGGTTAACAAGAGCCTGATTATTAAAGAAAGCAACACATCAGTAACACATTAATAAAATTCAGATAGTAAGAAAATATAAACTATAAACAGCCCAAAACACCATTATATTACTCCAATTTACCAATAAATACATTAAAGTGAGCCCTGCATACAAATTACAGTGAATATTTAACAGAGTGAGACAAAGTATGTGCTATAAATCTGCAGACATCATACAAAAATAGTGTTAGATATAAGGAAGATAACATCAGATAAGCTAAATTCTTACTTAGGCAAACCACTGTTTTTTCAGCATTGAATAGAAGCTTAATGTTTTAACCCACTTGAACCAGATCCTCAGCAGATGTAAATCACTAAGGGTACCTCTACATAACAGTGCTAAAGCCTAAATAAGCTACAGAACTTGAGCTATGTCAATTGCATAGCTTAATTTGAAATAGCTTATTTTGTCTTTTAGCCCTGTTTACACAGCAGGAAGTCTGAGAAAGAGAACTCTTCCTCCACCTTCTCTTACGCCTCAAAAAATGAGGGTTACAGGAGTCGGAGTAAGAAGCCTTCCAGCTCGACATTATTTTGACATTATGTCAAAAAAACTGCATGTACTGTAGTAGAGAAGCAGACCGTGGGTATGTCTACACTACAACGTTAATTCGAACTAACTTAGTTTGAATTAGTTAATTAGAACTAAGCTAATTCGAACTAACGGATCCAGACTAAAAAACTAGTTTGAATTAGCATTTTGCTAATTCGAACTAGCATGTCCACAGTAAGTGGACCCTGAACCGGGCTTAAGGATGGCCGGAAGCAGTGCCGGCAGGGCATCAGAGGAGAACTTAGAGCATGGAGATGCTTTCTCAGGCTAGCCGAGGGCTGTGCTTAAAGGGTCCCGACCCCCACCCCGGACAGACACTTCTCAGGGGTGCCCCGCTTGCAAAGCAGTCCTGGCTGGAGTGCCTGGACTACCCACACTGGGCACATCACACCACTTGGCCATCAGCCCAGCTGCACTTGCCGCAGGCTGCCATCTGGGGAGAGAGGGCAATTGGGGGGTTGCAGGAGAGCTTCCACCCCCAGAAGCCCGCAGAGCCAGCCCAGTCCTCCCCATCGGGGGCTCGTACCCCATTCCTCCCTCACCTCCTTCCACTTACCCTTCCTGATGTACAAAATAAAGATAACGTGTCTTCCAAAATGGAATCTGTCTTTATTGAACAAAACTGGGGGAGACTGGGAAAAGGAGGTGGGAGAGGGGAAGAGAGAGGCTGGGAGAGGGGAGGGCAACTAACATGATCAGGGGTTGGGAACAGGTCCCAGATGAAGAGAGGCTACAGAGACTGGGACTGTTCAGCTTAGAAAAGAGGAGACGGAGGGGGGACAGGATAGAGGTCTCTAAAAGCAGGGGTTGGGTGGAGAGGGTGCATTCAGAAAAGTTCTTCATGAGTTCCCATAAAGAAGGACTAGAGGACACCAAAGGAAAGGAATGGGTAGCAGGCTTCAAACTAGTAAGAGAAAGTTGTTCTTCTTCCCAAAGCAAATAGTTAACCTGTGGAACTCCTTGCTGCAGGAGGCTGTGAAGGCTACAACTAGAACAGAGTTTAAAGGGAAGTGAGATAAAGTGATGGAGGTTGGGTCCATGGAGTCCTATTAGCCAGAGGGTAGGAGTGGTGTCCCTGCCCAAAGTTTGTGGAAGGCTGGAGAGGGATGGCACGAGACAAATGGCTTGGACACTGTCTTCGGTCCATCCCCTCCAGGGTCCCTAGGGTTGGCCGCTGTCGGCAGACAGGCTACTGGGCTAGATGGACCTTTGGTCTGACCCAGTACGGCCATTGTAAGCTCAGGGCTCAGGGTCGGGGGTCTCAGTGGACCCCCTTGATTTTCATGCACACCTGCTCCTGGGTGGCCAGGCTGGCAGCTCTCCTGCCCTAGACGGCCACTTTCCTGTGCCTAGTGCAGAGATCGTGGACGAGGTCCA